CCCCCTCTTTTATTGATTGATTGATTGATTGTGTCCTCGGATTCATTGAAATAAATCTGGTAACCTTAGCTTACTGGGCACCCACGTAGGTCCCTGCATCTAGCACAAAGCTACACCTTGGGAAGTATTCCCTGCTCCCTGCTCCCTGCCAAGGCCAAATGAAGCGTCACCCAGCTGCTAGGGCAAATGTAGCAGCTTGCACACTGCTTTCAGAGCAGCTCGCACTGCTGCTTGAGAAACATCAACTCCAGAGCAGTGCTGGCCTGGCCAAAAAAGCCCCTCGCTCTTTCTCATTTGATAGGTGCCTTTCGCAGCAGAACGTGGAACACAGGAAGCTGCCTTATCCTCAGCTACAACACTGGTCCTTCTATTTCATTATTGTCAACACTGACTGGCAGCAGCTCTCTAGAGCTTTAAGCAGGGAAGATCTGAAGATGCCCGGGACTGAAGCTAGAACGCAGAGTGTGCATTCTTCCACTGAGCTATGGCTCTCCCCTAAATATGAAGGGATGCTGCTCATTTCCCGGGTGGAAGAAGCACCTGTCAGGTTAGACGTAGTCATCAGTCCCTTCCATACAGCAAAAGCGAAGGGAAGGGCCCTGTGAAAGCACAGCAGAGTCCATTTGCAGCCCATAAACTATCAGTTATCCTGAGCAGTAGACAAATCATCTCTTTAATGCTGTTTTGGAAGTTCGTATGAAAGGAAGGTTTCGATACAACACTTTAGCATTCCATCTGTGGATCTGTATTATTATGTTTTAATATATGTTGGAAGCTGCCCAGAGTGGCTGGGGCAACCCAGTAAGATGTGTGGGGTATAAATAGTAAAATGATCATTATGGAATGGGATGTCCCTATTTTCATCAGAGAAATGTTGGAGAGTATGGTACTGTTATTTGTAATAAATGGGAAATGACGAGGATGATTAAACACAGACAGAAATAAGGAGATTTGAGTTCAAAATCTGTGACTTGGTGGTAGAAGATGAGTGTGTGTGTGTGTGTGTGTGTGTGTGTGTGTGAACATAACAGGAAACTTTGAACTGGCAAACTGTGGCTGCAAACATTAACTGTTGCTTGGGAAACGGTTGTCCCGTGGTCATTCCATTTTAAAATGGTATTTTGAGTGAGAAGAGGGGCTGTTGAAACTTGAAGTTCTGTTTTTATAACACAGAGGACAGCAAAGTATAAACAATGAAAGAACAAACACACCAAAAAACACCCAACACCCAAAACAACCGTGCAAGCAAGCCTTACTGATTTTATCCACATATTCCAGGTGACTCACCATCTGTCTACCTGCCAACATCTGAAAATAATAAGTTATAGTAAAGTTATTAACTAGAATGACATGAACTTTGAAGTAGCTAAACCTAAATTAAATATAAGCATTCCAAACAGCTTGAGGCTAATGAATGTAATAAAGACTCACTCACCCAACTTCATCCTTGTTTGTTTCTGCTTTTTACCTCTTCCCTTTGCCCATGTCTCTCATCCTAGGTGGTTGTAGACAAAGGGAGGTTAGTGGAAATAATCGAAAGATTATATTGTTATGAGGTGTAGGGTTTTTTGTTTGTTTTTTGTTTGGAAGGGGGCAGGTAAGGCTGAATGCCTGCCCCCGCTTTATAAGTCTTGGATTAGCCAAACCAACTTCCTGGTCATGTGATAACCTATGTAATGGGCCATTAAGGGAACAAAAGAAGTGGATCTGTGCCAGATGAAAAATGGATGGGGTCCCTTCCCTCAGCTTACAGGTTGTTAGAAAGACAAAAGGCCAGAGTAGAGAGCTGAGTGATGTGTGCTAGAAGTTAGAAGAAAAGCTGCAGAGTGGGAAGCCAGAGAGAGGCAGAATAATGCTTGATTTCTGTTTGGATCTAAGGCTGCAGGTATGGGGGAACTCTTGGGAGGTTAATGCTGTGAACCCCTCCATTGTAGGCTCAGGTTGGATATACAGTATGTGTAAATAAACCATATATTATAAAGACACTACAGTCTCCATTGTGCCTCATTCTGAAGGAAACACGAACCCAGGATAAGCTCCTAGAACACCTGGAATCTCACATCACTCAGAGATTGGGGTGATGTGCCACAGCATCTATTCGTCAGTTACAACCGATAGACACACCTTTAAAGGGAAACACCTCTGAAGTTGGAACAAATCTGCACCATGCAAAGAAAGGCTTCCACTGCTGTCAGTTACTGCCAGTTGCACCAATTTACACCAGATGAGAATGTGGCCACAGAAAGCCTCTCACCAACGTAATGTATATATATGGGAAATCCCTTTGCACTGCTCATTGTCCAGAATAAATTGCACGCTGAGTGCTTTGATGCCAACACGATGCTCTGACTACAGGAGTTTCTTTCCTACGCAGTCTTAGAAAACCCAGACGTTAACCTCTGAAAAGAAGCAGCAGCGCATTAATCTATTTTTACCACACTGCCTTCCTTGATGAACTCATACTTTGCCCACAAATTTGTTATACTTGAAAAAGCTACTAAACGGAGGTTATGTTTGCCAGATCGCTCTCTTTTTATTTCATTTTGAAAAACCCCGAATGCCTTAATGAAATGAAATAAAAAGGAATGCAGGTAACAGTATTAAAACCAAACCTGTCACTCAGAAGAATCAAGGACACTAGATGCATGTTCACCGTTCTGCTTCCATGTACTATATTGCCTGTCTTTCAGCAATGCTTGCTCCTTCCTCCCAGCTTACCAGGTGACATTAAAGGAATTAACGTGTCCCTCCCCAAATTCTAATAGCAGCTGTCAGCATGCTGGCTCCAATGCGCCCTCTATAAATGTTTGAAAAAATAAAATAGGTCCCCCTACAGCTGCAGGCCCCAGACCTGCGCCCCATAGTCCATCCCCAGCAGCGTCACTGAGTGCACAGATCTTGGAAGCTTAGAAGGGGAGAAACCATTTCATACAAGTTTAAGAAACACTGCCTTGGCATAATGAGACAAAGTGCTGAAGATCTTGTTTATTTCATAAATAAAAATAGGCACCATTTGTTAGTCTGCGGTGGAGTTGCTTGTTGAGGAATGTTTCTGGCAAGCTGGCTACTGGAAGATGGAATCTGCTCTTTAAACAGAATCTGTCAAGTTTATTGAGTCTCTTGGGAGAACACCCCCCCCCAAAGCATTGAATCTCACTTAAAAGAAAAAGAAAAAGAAACTCCTTTTAATGTGAACTTTGAACTTAATATGCTAGCATGTCAAGATTTTTTTAAAAAATATCATTGCCACGCAATAAAAATGCCCCATTGCTATTTCCTGAAGGTTTGCTCCATACGTATTCTGTGGTCCCTATGTATTGAAAGAGAGAAACAGATGGATGTACATATTGGAGATACACATGGACCTTCCGTTGACAGTCCTGGTCAGGATGCTGCAGTGTTTGATGATGATCTGGAGACAGCAGTGATCTCCAGATCTTAGCAGAGAAAGGTCTCTGCTAACCCCTACGCAGAACCCATTCTACACAGGCAGCTGCTTGTGAAGGGGAAACAGAATGCAGTCACACTTTTGAGAACCTAGCCATTATTCCAATGAGGAAATAATTTGCAACAAACACCTTAGAAGGTTATTGTTGCCATTGATTGACTGGCTAAACCCTGAAGAATACTAGGATACAAATAATATTGGCTTAGTCAGGGTCCATATCAAAACACAGCCCTGCCTCCAGTGGCAGGAGAGGAGAAGCAGCCAGGACAACTGCAGAGCAGGGAAAACTTTTACCATCTTCCTGTCCTGCTTTTGCTGCTGCTGCTCCTGAAGGGAGAGGAGAGGTGCCAGGCTTCCCCTGAGGGACTTCCCTATCAACCTTCCTGTCAGGAATTATTGATGGGATGGAGAGTTGTTGTTTTTTAATTGTGTTGATTTGAATGTTTTTTGGGGCTGTGTCAGTGTGGAATTTTTATACTTATCTGTGAGTTAGTGAGTGGTTATTTTTTAAAAAAATAATGTTCGTATACTGCTATTTTTTATTATTGTTATGGGCGGGCTGGTGGGCTTTCTTGGGTTTTGTTTCTCCTAATGTATTATATGGCGCATTAGTGTGTTGCATGATTGCTCCCTTCTTTCCTGTATGCATGTGTGCATATACTGAGAGACGCTTTGGGTGACAAGTGACTAATAAGTTTAGTAAATTTAAAAATGTAAATTAAGAAAAAGGCATGGGAAGGTAGCCATTCAGTGAGAATCATGTTGCAGGTTAACCCTGAAGAATGAAGGCTGGCAACATGAACCCTGCCCTGTGGGAATCCCTTGCAGAAGACTGCAGTGCCTAGAGACAATGAGACAAGTTGTGTATCTACAGCAGTGACCAGAGGAGGAAAGAGCTCAGAGAGAATAGACGCCATGCTGCACCTGTAACAGAGAAAATGGATGCCTTCATCTGCCCCAGCTGCAAAAATTTCCCATATCAGTCTCTACAGCCACAGCAGGCGCTGTAACTCTCCAACGGTTTGACTTTACCCCCCAAGGCACACTCCTCCATTGTCTCCCAAGACAGATGGATGCCAGCCAATCTGAATCAATGGCGTATGCTGTAACACAAAAATCCAGTGGTACGGGAGTTTTATTGACATAATTATGTTCCAAGAAGCAATAGCGCTGCTGGTGATCTACTCATCTGGAGACTTGTGTTCAGCTATGTACATCACAATTCGAGAATGATGATGGCAATGTAGAAAGGATACGAAAGAAGCCTACCAGAATGAAAAAGTTTGGAGGGCACATATCACGTTAGGTTGATGGGAAAGTTAAAGGGGCAAAGATACTGGCAACTTCTGCAATTTTCTTTCTCCCTTCCATCGCCCCCCCCCCCAGAACACGAGATGAAAAAGAGAGAACAACTGCCAGTGCAATTCAGTTAGGTAGGGCAGAATGTGAAGCAATGGGTTGAAGCTACAGGGAAATAATTTAGTCCATTTGTAACCCAGAAAGGAGGCAGTCTTCATAGAGGCACCCACCCGTTTCGCAGTCCAAGAACCGTGCTTCCTGGATAGCTCAGTTGGTTAGAGTGTGGTGCTGATAATGCCAAGGTTGCAGGTTCGATCCCAGTAGGGGGACAGCGGCATATGCCTGCATTGCAGAGGGTTGGACTAGATGACCCTCAGGGTCCCTTCTAACTCTGCATTTCTATGATTCTAGGATTCTGTACAACTCTCCAAGGGCCACCTTCCAGTGGAGGGCGGGGCCAGAGGCAAAAGTGAGTGGAGCCATGAATGCACACTTTGTGCAGTAGGCTAGTTGCTACACACTGTCACATGGCTCATCCTATTCTCCATCCATACAAGCAAGATATATTATCAGAGTCCAAATGCATGTTACATTCAGAGAAAAACCACCCAAGGTGCAAACAGGGCCACTGAGAGCATAGACTGGGAAAAGCTCCCAGGGCCTGACAGAGAGAGGCCTGCGGAGGGGGGCACATTTGTCCCTGCGCCTGAGGTTCCCCATTCATGCCCTGGGTTATACTGTATACATATATACATCCTCCCCTTTGTTTTCATTTCTCTACCAAATGACAACTTTTATTCTTACTATTTAGGGAAAGCGTTTTCTGGCTGCCGAGTTTTTGTGATTTATTGCTGCTGCTTCAGATTGTGTAATTGCTATTTAAATTCTGTTTGTAAATTGGCTTAATAATATCTTTGGTTTTGACTCTAGCTTTGGTTGATTCTGCTTTTAATGCGGCTGCTGATCTCTTTTTAACCGATGTTTATTTGATAATGATGTTGTGGTTTGATTCCTTTTAACTCGAATACTGCTTCAAGTGCTTTGTAAGCAGAGAACATGACTAATACGTTTTATAGATGCCTACAGTACATACATGCACATATATACGTAACAGGAGTGACTTCCTAACTGGAGTATATATGAATGAAACATGCTAGTTGGGGGAGTTATGAAGCTGCCTTTATCAGAGAATTATAGTGCAAGCCAAACTCAAGATTGGCTGGGAGGAGTAAGTTTGGAATAGGGGAATATTGGGCTCCACTAGTGTAATTCACTCATTCTGGCTCAGCCTGGGATACACCTACCGAAGTCCTACAATCTAGCAGAGCTAGGGCTATGTTGTCTCAGCTGGTGGAATTTAAGCCAGAGGAATTTGTGCTGGCATTAAGCTTCCAAAGGGGGCATTCCAGGGGTGGGCAAACCTTTCGGCTCAGTCACATGACCTGTCAATCCAATGGAACTTGGGTTGCAATTCAACTCTGCTTTAAAGACACACTTCCTCTCTGCCAGACTCGGGGCAGCTCTGCTGACAGTAACCCTACTCCTGAACAGAGCTTGGAATAGGGGTGACATACGCTGGATGAACCCGAGACCCCTGGGTATAGAGCGGTATATAAATTCAATAAATAAAAATAAAAATACCAGTAACTTAACCCGGGGTAAATTCTACTGGTTTCCTGTGCTTATGATTTCTCTGCTGTAAAGGAAAGTTGAACAAACTTTGAAAGGTGTATAGGATATTCTGAATAAGAGAAGGGGGCCTGGATTAAATGGCCCATAGGGTCTCTGTTCCAGTACAAGGATCCCTTGACCTGGACCTGCGATATTTTCAGAAGGCAAACTGGTTTCCTTATACGTGCAGAATCAAGTCTTCTGTATTCCCCGGTAAAAGAAAAAATTCCATCCTGGCCTTAAAATTGGGAGTCATCCAGAGCCCACAGCTCTGCACCAGAGCTGGAAATCTTGCAGTATGGGGACCCCACCCAGCCACCTAATCATGCCTTGAGCTATTAATAATATCCATGAAAAACAAATAAGTGGAGGCTTGGAAACTGTTTGTTATGTTCCTTCCATTCTCTTAAATACATTTTCATGACTTTATAGGCTGTCCCTGTCAACTTTTTTCTTTTTTTAAAGTTTCCAGGGGAATTTCTTTTAATTCATTTTTTTATTCATTTTTAAATATATAGAACAAAATTACAACCAACAAACTTCCCCAGAAACCCTCCCCCGCCCCCGTACAATGGGTCGCCAGTATTAAGGTAAGAATTATGTTATTCTCTCCACATCACCCCAGTGATTCAGTGCAACGTACGAGTAAAGGTCAGAAGAAGCTGGTGGTGCTCCAATTTGTCCATACAGATGGGAGCACACTAATGATATACAAAATCATGAGGGCCATATTTGCAGCTGGCAGTATTTTTCAGTCTGTTGTCGTTGGTATAGGCAATACATTTCCACTATATAGCACAAAACCTTTGTGGGGTTTTTTTGGGGGGGGGTAGGTATCTTTATTTCATGTGTTCTTTTTTATAATATAGCTGTATAGCTGGTGGCTTTATACCAAAATTCAGTAATCAAATCCTGCAGCTCGCCCCCAAATTCCAGTGCAATTGGGCATTACCATTCAAGTTGGTAATACGTTCTGCCACGTCCACACCCACACCAACAAAACAGTGTGTGTCCCAGGATCATGTGTGACAACTGGACTTGTGCCCTACACCATTTGTACAGGAAATGCACACTGGAATCCTGATGAATTTTCGTGAATTGTTGCCGAAATGTATAGAGCTGAATTTAAGACAGGAACAACGAGAAATTTGGAGAACCGAAACCGATCCGTTTGTCCGTTCCTAATAGCAAGGCATGTGGCCACATTCTGAGCCATACCTTATAGTCTCCACTCACTTCTCACATTCTCCCAGCATGAGATGACCAAGTCTCAAGGCAGGAGAAAACTGATTTTCAGAAGGCAAATGGATAAGTAATTTCAGAAATCATCTTCAGCGGTAAACCATTTCTTCCTGTGAGGAATACTGTGCAAAATGGAAGAGGTTCCCTCTCTGAACTCTACCGCAATAAGGGCCTTTTCTCTATGTTTCAAGTAAACTCTCAAATGGGTTTCAAAAAGACAAATGCTCTATCAATGCAGATTTCATACACCTTTTTCTCTCGACATGAATAATAAACACGCAAGTATATGCGGACATAAGCACATGTACGGATATCACAAATCATGTCAACCCTTGGAAACTTGCTTGGTTTTACTTTCAAATCTAGAGCAAAACAATGTGTTAAACAAACTACAGAAAATCTATTTAATCCGAAAGTAAAGCAAGCCACATCCTGCTAGTTTTTCCACACACAGAGATCAGATTTTAATCTACGAATATTGAATGGAGAGGTATGAACCAGCAACTGCATTCATATATATATATGTGACAAGTCCCCAAAAGACAGGAAGATAGTTAACAGTGCAATTTTTCGTCAGCGTAAACAAGCCATTCCTATTATCACTGCTTTAAGGCTTCCTGAATGCATTATAAGTATTATATATAGGAAATTATTGAAGGCTGTTGACCTATTTTCTTAACCTCGCAATGTGTAAGGCAACATGAAAAAGACGAGGCAGAGTTTCTTAATGTGATGCACGTAAATAGTTTCTTAACGTTTAAGAAAGCGAGTGCCTCGCAGCTAACGATAAGTGTGCTATGCAAGGGGTTTTACTGCCGCCTTGTGGACAGTTCTTGGGCCTAGCAAAACGCTTTCAGGGCTAGCAGTTATGCTCTGAAGTTCAGCTGCGCACAGCCTTTTAGAGGATATCTGTACAGTTTGTCTATGAAGTGTACAATCTTTTTGTGAAATAATTTTGCCTTAGTAGGAGACAGGCAACCACGGGGAGTGGGGAGTGGGGTAAAATAATAGGTTTTGCGTGAAAAAACAGGCTCTCCAGAGCAACTAGCAAAACAGGAGTCCATACTACAGAGTTTGTTTATTATTCATTAATCTTAAAGTCTATGTTGTTTTCGTTATTGAACAAGTATAATTCAGGACACATTTTCAGGTGCATTTCTTGTTATTACTGGTTCTTATTAGGCTGAAGTCTTCAAGGACAGTTGTATGGATAGTTTCTTCTCATTTGTTAAGTAAGATCAAGGAAGCCAGAGGGTTGCATACAATAACTGAAGTATATCAGTAAAGTTTATACTGTACATATACAACAGAAACAAATCCTTTATCTATTAACTTTACTGTTTTAAAGCATTCATTTATCCACATGACTAATATCTCATAAAGGATGCTGTTTTCACTCCCTTTGTCGCCCCCTCAAATTGGGTTAGAATTCTTATTTTAAACTGGTTGTAAAATGTGCATGAGATGAAAGGGGGAAGTCTCTCTGTTTATTCTCACAATGTTAATTGCATGGAGAAATGTGTCAAAGGGGTTTGTCATCCACACAACAGGACCTTCCTCAATGTAATCCTGTATGCAGAACATTCCAGTATACAGATGAAATTGTAATATATTTTTGTTTTTAAAAAAAATATATGCTGAGAAGAAATTCTAGCTTAGATTCTGTGCAAATGTCTGGCATTGTTCTGTTTTTGGTATGCAGGTCTTTGCTTTCCTTTTTATTGCAAAAGATATTTGCTGGAAATATTTCTGTACAATCTGCGGCACTATGTTTGATATTGTGAGGAGATTTCAGCAAATAAGCAGTGATTACTAGCAGCTCATCTGAATAAGTTGGAAAGGATAGATCAGGGATGGGGAATTGTGGCCTTCCAGAAGTTGCTGGACTACAATTCCCATCATCCCTGACCATTGGCTGTGCTGGCTGGGGCTGATGGGACTTAGAGTCCAACCACATCTGGGAGGTCACAAGTTTCCCATCCCTGCTTTAAATAAAATTCAGTCTTGTATTTCCCATTTGTTTCTAATATATTAGAAGACTCCCACCACCACCCACTAAATCAGGAGGGCAAGCTGCTTAAGCAGCAAACATGCAGTTATATATTTGTTGGATTAGCCAGCCATCATATATAATCTAAAGCTTGACAGACATGTTTTCTAAGATCAGTGTGGTACAGCATACAGGGCTTGTTACTAGGAAAGGCAGCCTTGGGCACTTCTTTCTCACACACATCTTAATTCAGAGCAGTGCTAGACATTTCAAAGCTGCTGCTGCTCCATCTCTTTGCTCCTCCTTTGGAATATCTAGCACGATGTGATATCATGATGTTGTGCACTGGTCTGCTTCCAAGGCTGACGGCCCAAAAAGTGAGAAGGAAGCGAGATGGCTCACAGTGCACTGCTGCCACAAGTCTTGTT